CTGAATGTCTTGTCCCTGGTGGTCAATGCATGTCATAATGAGCAGTTGAGCAATGTTAGTATATCATTTGCATATTATGCTTTGATTGGTTGAACAGATGACCAGTCGAATGGACACTTAGCATATGAGGCTTTTATTATATAGGATTGATTTCATAAAGGAAGGGAGCGAGAAATATCAATGATAAGAGAGAATCATACATCGGGTGCCTCCTGCACGCCCCCTACTGGGGATCAAGCCCACAACCACAGCATGTGCCCTTGACCAGAATCAAACCTGGGACCTTCCAGAGTCCACAGTCCAACCCTCTATCCACTGAGGCAAACAAGCTAGGGCTCATTGGTCAATTCTTTTCTATGCCCTTACCAGGAATCGAACCATGACCTCCGGGTTCATAGGTCGTCCCTCAACCACTGAGAAACTCCAACGTGGCTCAAAATGCTTTTATTGATTTGAGAGACAGGGAGAGAGACAGAGAGACACAGAGAGACAGAGAGAAAGGAGATGAAGAAGAAGTACAAGAACAAGATAAAAGAGAGAGAGAGAGAGAGAGAGTGAGATCAATGTGCCCTCGCACCCAGGGGGTGGCAGATAGAACAATAGAGCTTATTAAAAAGGTGAACAGAACTATACACATCCCACCGGCAGGCCAGGAGGCCTGGGGCTCCGGTTGACAAGAGCCAGGGACCCCATCACATGTCCAATGAGTCTTCCATCAGCTCAAGGATCATTTCCTCCACTCCATTCTCCTTGATGTGGTGCACGATGCGCCAGAACCGGCCCATGGAGTCCAGATACTGGATGCCAAGGTGGAGCTTCCACAATGAAGGCATGGAGATTGAGGTAAGCGGGCTGGTGGTGAGTGCGATATCCCCAATTGGGATGTTTTCCTGGCGCAACCGTACTTGCAGGTCACCTCCTGTCTTCGTGACGAGATGCAGCCATGTGCGATGGTACTCGTCCTCATACAATGCGGGCCCACGGATATCCAGGTACATGGGGTGCGAGGTGAGGTGCACTTTCCACGGGAGCTCGGCCATGACCCCTCCTTGTTCCAAGGAGCAACAGGCACAGCTACTGAGAACCTCTCGTTACTTTGGTCCTGGCATCGAAAGACAGGGGATGTGGTCTCCAAACACATTTTACCTTGGCTTTTTTCTTTACGGTTTTTATGGTTGTGTTTGTGGTTGCCTTTGGTTTATTTTGCGAATTTATATATCTCAACTTTTCTTTCTTTTGAGCTTTAGATCTCTCTCCTCTAAAAAACTGTACAAAACGTACTGGTAGTAAAATTTGACTCTGTGAAGGTAACACGGTCCTATAGAATATTTAGAACATTTTTTAAATGAGTTGTCACACAACCTTAGGTTAATTTCATGGGTACATCCCAATGATTAGACATTATATAATGGACTAAGAAATCATGCAATTAATCTCATACCCATCTGACACCATACAATGTTATTATAATATTACTAGAGGCTCAGTGCACAAAATTTATGCACTTGGCGGGTCCCTCATTCAGGTCTGCAGCCTCTGGTAGGCCGGGACCCCTTGAGGGATGTCCAACTGACAGCTTAGGCCCGCTTTAGTGCTGCTGTGGAGGCTCCCACGAACCCCTCTGCTCGGCAGCTGTGAGCCTGGCTTTTGGATGAGCGGTGCGTCCCCTGTGGGAGTGCACTGAACACCAGTGGAGAGCTCCTGACAAGAGCATCTGCCCTCGGTGGTCAGAGTATGTCATAGCAACAAGTGGTTCTGCCATTTGATCGATCTGCATATTAGACTTTTATTCTATAGGATTGCATTTACTCAATGCTCTACTTTACTGTGCTATGACTATTCTTTCGTTTTTTTTCATATAGTTTTACTGATTTCAGAGAGGAAGGGAGAGGGACAGAAAGAGAAAAAAAGATCAATGATGGCAGAGAATCATGGATTGGTTGCCGCCTGCACACCTCCTACCGGGGTTCAAGACTTTAAACGCGCATTTGCCCTGACAGGGAATCGAACTGTGATCTCCTGGTTCCTTGGTTGAAGCTAAACAATTAAGCCACGCTGGCCAGGGTCTTACCTTTATTTTCTTTTTTTCTTTTCTTAATTAAAACTTTGTTGTTGGATCATCTTTTCTTTTTGTCCTGACACCACCACCTTCTTTCTGATCATCTCAGAGGGAACTCTAAACCAGAGAACAACCCAACCCATGCAAAAAATTTGCAAATAACATGCTTTACCTTTAACAGCTGGCAGAAAAACGAAGCTAATGTCAGCGTCCAGGTGGGCTTTTAAGAGAGGTCTTTCTTCTCAGGTGCTTGTGAGAGAGGCAATACCAACATATTCAGGGACAGACAGATACCTGGGATAGCTGATCAGGCAAACAGGAAGCAACGAGACAGGTGAAACAGCAAGTAGGATTCCTGAGGTCTCATAACATCACTTATAGAATGATTTCTCCCTTCCCCAAACCTCAGCCATGCTGTTGGCAAGAGCTGTATGGTTTTGCTGCTAAACTCACTTCAGTCCAAAAAGCCCAAATTCCTTGCTCAGATCAGACTCCATCCCAAATCCTTCCTCCTCCTCCTCCCATCCATCATTTTCTTACCTGTTCTTCTTGCTCTGAAGGCAAAACACCGTTCTTCTCTCCTTTCCTCTGTGACCATTCTCTGCTTCCCCCTGTCACCTGCAGAAGAAAGAAAAAGGCCATGATACACCTGTTTTAGGGAGTCCATGTACCAGGAATGTGTCAAGAAAAACAAGGTTCCCCTGACTCGCACCCCAGAAACCAGTCCCGTGAGACAGGTGTTGGTGAGGAAGGAAATAGGTTTATTCACGTGCTGGCAACTGGAGAAGATGGGAGAAGCTAGTCTTAAAGCCTATCTGCACATCTCAGTGCAGGCAGAGGCTTTTATAAGGAGGGAGAGGCCAAACAGAGCAAAGAGGTCAGGGGGCGGGGCTTGAGAAGTTCTCTACGTGCCTGAAGCAAAGAGGTCAGGGGGCAGGCCTTGAGAAGTTCTCTTCCTGCTGACGGGCACATTCCAATCTGATAAGGATCTTGCAAGTGGTCAGGTGTCGGTCCAGTGTGGGTCATCCTGTACTTTGTCCTCCTGGTTCTAAAGTTGAAGGTCATCAAATCTCACAGAACTGGGAAGGTCAGAGTTCATATCTTGTAAAATTAGTTCCTAGGATTCTTATTCAAACATGCTGTTTACCTACAAGTTTCATTATTAGTCAGAGTCTGCATTTCAGGAACAATGTGGAAAGAATGGTGAGGTGAGTTGTAATTCCCATGAATTACATGAATTCATGTAATTACTGTGACCTGAATGCTGAGATGCTTCATTCTTCTTCAAGGCTTTTCCACCCTTTGAAAAACTTAAATAGGCCCTAGCCAGTTTGGCTCAGTGGATAGAGTGTTGGCCTTCTAACTGAAGGGTCCCAGGTTCGATTCCCGGTCAAGGGCACATGCCCAGGTTGTGGTCTTGATCCCCAGGGAGGGCCTTGCAGGAGGCACACGATCCATGATTCTCTCATCATGGATGTTTCTACCACTCTCCCTCTCCTTTCCTCTCTGAAAAAAAAAAATTAAATACAACTCCCAGCTCAATGACCTGGACTGAGGCCAACTCTTCCCCAGTTAGGAAGGAAAGATAAATGGGGTCCTAAGTGTATATCAGACATCTGTCTGTTGGCATTTAGGAGAAGCAAAAATAAAAAGAAACAGAAAAAAAGGGGAGGAAAAACATAATTCAAAGGTCACCCTCATATTGCCCTCGAAGGAATAGAGCCCAAAGGGTTCATGAGACAGAGTGTCTGCTGGGGTCCAGCCCCAGCAGGTCCAGGGGTCCCCAAAGGTGTGGACAGAGTTGGTGAAGAAGGAATGACATGGAGACAGTGTTCAGTTGATCAGTAGCCTCGTCAGGATCTCTAGCCAGGATCTCCAGCGAAGTTCTGGTTAGGTTCTCCAGCCAGGTTTTGTCTTGGATCTCCAGCCAGGTTCTGTCTCCATGTTCTCTTGCTAGGTTCTCCAGCCAGGTTCGGTGGCCAAGTTCTCTAGCCAGGTTCTCCCGCCATGTTCTGTCGAGGTTCTCCAGCCAAGTTCTGTAGCCAGGTTCTGTCCAGGATCTTTTGCC